CTGCCCCCCCCCTTCCCAGAATCCTTTGGGGCAAAGGTGGGGTGGGGGGGTGGGACTCCAAGCTGGCCCCTGTCTTCCCAGAGGCCTTTGGGGTTGGGGAAGCAACCTCACCCCCCCACCTTCCCAGAAGCTTTTGGGGCAGATGCAGCTGGCTTCTCCTCCTGCTTTGCATCTTGAGGCTTGGCCTCATCCCCTGTTGCAAAGCACTCTGGGATGCTGGAGGGGTGGGGGGCAGGCATGGCCCCCGCTCACCTGCACCACCCCCGGCAGGTACTTCTTCTCCGTGCTGTCTGTCCTCACCGTGCTGGGGCTCCTCAACGGGCTGGTGCTGCTGCCCGTCCTGCTCTCGGTCATCGGGCCCCCCGCCGAGGTACGAGCCACCCCCCCGTTGGAGGGGGGCGCCGGACTCCTGCGGTCATGTCTCCTGCGCTGGCAGCGGCTGCGGGAGACGTCAAGCAGCGGGAGTGGGACTCTGTCTCTGTGGCCATCAGTAGGCTTCAGAGTGAACGCTGGGCTCGGCTGCCCTGGGGGCATCTCAGGGGGGTGTCGCAGTGCCCTGCCCCATCTAACCCGCCCTCCCCACCGGCTCCGGCTCCAGGTCCCGCCAGGGGACAAACGTCACCGGAGCCCCTCCCGCCGCCCATCGCCCACCACGGCTTCTATGTGGGGCGCCCGCCAGCCTGGCACGGCCCTGACACGGCCCCCGAGACCCCCCCAGCCATGGGGCCTGGTGACGAGGACCCCTCCGGCAGCGCCCAGGCCTGCATCCTGCTCCAGGCCGGCAAGGACCCCCGCTTTCCCTGCATCACCGTGAGTGTGGCCGTGCCCCGGGGCAGGGGGACCAGACGCCTGGGTTCCCTGGGGCGGGCAGAGCAGCAGGGCCGGCTGCCTCATGCCCCCTCTGTCTTGCAGGTGGTGAAAGCCTTCGAGGTGGGGCCAGCGCCCCCGGGACAGGAGTCCACGACCGGAGACCGGCCGCCCCGCGCCCGCCCCACACCCCCACCGCCCACCTACGCCACGGTGACGGCCACGGCCTCGGTGACGTTGGCACTGCACCCCGGCCTGCCCGGTGCTGCGCGCGGCTACGCCCACGCCGCCTTTGAGGACAGCGAGTCCGACGGCCACGAGGACCCGCCTGGTGCCCAGCACACCCGCCACGGGTGCCATGCCACTGCCACGTGCCGCTAGGTGGGGTCACATGTCATGCCCACAGCGGGGGGCACCAGGGGCAGCAGCCCTGAGCTATTGGGGGGGAGCCCGGCAGAGGTGCCCCGCGGCGTGTTTGCAGGGCCTGATGCCATGGGCACACGCGTGAACACACACGTGCCTGCCCACGCCTGGTGGGAGTAAGGTGGAGAGTGCAGCTGCGGGTGGGGCCTGCTCTGACCTGCTGCCCCGTGTCATTGCAGGCTGCCCCACGGGACCAGGAGGCCCCTGAAGACGTGCCACGGCGTGACGTGGTGCAGCACACTACGATGTGCCACGTTTGCTGTGCCAGGATGTGACCTGCTGTGTCATGATGTGCCATGTTGCCATGGCATGGCGTGGCAAGCCATGATGTGCCACATGTGCCAGGCCGTGCCCTGGCGTCCCACTGGCTGGGCCGGGGGCTGTGGGCGCCAGGAGCCGTGGGCAGGGCCGGGGGTGCCCAGTGGGGTGGGGGGTGCCAGCGCCCCCACGACATGCTGCTATTCCCTTAATATTATTATTATTATTATTCTCCCCGCGCTGCCCCTGCCCTGGAGACCCCGGGGGCTTGGGGCAGAGCCCAGCCCTGCAGGCACCAGTTCCTATGCAAGGGGGGGGCTGCTGGGTTGGGGTGCCCGGGGGGGTTACTGCCCCCCTGCTCCCCTCCTGGGGGGAAATGGCAGCGCTCGGTCCTGCTGCAGCCCTCTCCCCGCACGGGCCCCGATCCTGGAGCCGGAGGGCAAACAGTGCCCGCTTCACCTCCATCACCAGCACTTTAATTCCTGCCCCCCCGCTCCCCAATTGCCTGCTGGCGCCCCTGCTGGGGGGGGCGAGGGCACCCGCAAAGCTCAGGGGCAGGGGGGGCACCAGCAGGCCCCAGGGCCACCCCCACGGCCCAGCCCCAGCCGTGCCCAGGGTGCGAGCGGTCACGGGGCCCCCCTGGCCCGCTGCCAGTGCCCCCTGGTCCTGCCGGGTCTCCATGGTGGGGGCGGGGGGGGCAGGTAAATTATTTATATCACAGAGCAGAGTCTATTTTTGTAGGCCGTGTCGCGCCGAGCCCCAGCCCGGGCCGGCCCCGCGCACGGGAATAAAGCGATATTCTATCTACGCCCCGCGCTGCCGCCTGGCACGTGTGCACGCGCATGTGTGTGTGTGTGAGGCAGAAACGTTGTGAGCGCGTGTGTGTGTGAGAGCATATGAGTGCGTGTGCATGTGAGAAAGCATGTGTGTGTAAGAGCACTTAAGTGTGTGTGTGTGTAAGCATGTGTGTATGTGTAAGAAAGAGCATGTGTGTCTGAGCATATGTGTGTGTAAGAGCATGTGAGCATGTAGGTAAGAGCATGCAAGTGCATACGTGTGTGAGAGTGTCTGAACGTGTGTGTGTGTGTGTGTGTCAGAGGGCATGTAAGTGTGTGAGCATATATGTGGGTGCATGTGCACATGTGCATGCATTTGTGTACATGGGTGTGTGCATGCACGTGTGATCTGCGGGGCCCGGGGGATGCACAGCGCTGCAGGCCAACACCTCCAAGGATCGGGGGGGACGGAGGGGGGCAACAGCCCTAGCATGGCGGGGGGGACCCCCACAGGCGGGGGGAGCAGGGTGGGTCAAAGGTCAGGCTGGCAGCTGCCCCCGGGGCACTGTGGGGCTGTGCTGCAGGGTGCGGCAGGGGGCACGTGCCTGGGCGGCCATGCCAGCGCACTGCCCGGGGGGTACCGTGTTGGGGGGAGGGACCCTTGCAGGGGGCAGAGGGTGCTCCTCCCGGGGTAGCAGGGCCCTGACTCCTGGAGCCTGAGACTGCCCCCAGCCCCCCTCCCTCCCACCTCTCCAAACTGACCCGAGGTCCCAGTCGTCGTCCCCCAACACCCCTATATCTAGAGCTGTGGGTGCCCCTCGCTCCCGGCCGGGCCCCCTGCCATTGCTGCTCTGCCCCAAAAGAAAGACCTTCACCCCCAAACCCATCAAACTGCCCTGAGCCAGGCCCTGGGGGCACGACCCCGACACCCTGCCCCTTGCACCCATCTGCGGGCAGATGCTGCCCCCTGCCGACCTCCCCTCTGGCTGCAGCTGGGGCCCTGCCCGTGGGGGTTTCATGCCTGGGGGGCACCAGGAGGGGCCAAGGACCTGGTGAGGAGGTGCCAGCCCCTAGCCCCTGGGCCTGGGAGGCAGGGGCAGGGGCAGAGGGGGCTGTTTGGGCCGGGACACGGGGGCAGTGGGGAGCAGTGCAGCGCCGAGCGTCGAGCTGGGCCTGAGCGCAGGGGCGAGACCCTCCAGCCAGGTGCCGGCAGGAGCACGGGCACAGCCCCAGCCCCAACCCCAACCCCAGCCTGGGCTGGTTTGGACAGGGCTGATCCTCCTCAGGCAGGGGTGGGCTGGATGCGACCCCCACGGTGCCATGAGTCCGTGCAGCTTGGACTGACGTTCGTCTGGGCTGATTTGGAGCAGGGGACTCGGGAGGGCCCGTCCAGCCCAGCGCCCGCCCGAGCTCTCCTGAACCCCTCCAGCGGTGGAGAGTCCCCCCTTCCCCGGCGTCTCCCCCACGGGCTCCCTGCTCCGACAGTGAGGACGTGTTTCCTGAGCTCCAACCTAAACCTGCTTTGCTGCAACTTCAAGGCGCTGGTCCGTGCCCTGCTCCGTGCAGCGCGAGACGAGGAGCTCGCCCTCTCCTCCACGGCCGGGCAGAGATGCTCTCATGCCGCTCTTGGCACCTTTTCTGCAAGCCGGACGTGCCCGGCTCCGCCAGCCTCTCTCGCCTGCCTTGCCTGCCAAGCCCTTGAGTATCTTCCTTGCCCACCCCGGACCCTCTCTCACTTCTCCACGTTGCTTGTAAAATGTGGAGCCCAGAGCTGCACCCAGTGTCCAGATGAGGCCTGACCAGCGCCAAGTAGAGAGGCACCGTCCCTTCCCCTGCTTGTGTCCAGCCCACGTCTCCAATGCGTTAATGCGCTTTAACACGTCGACATGTGCATGAATGCACTTGAATTAGTTGCTCCTAAATTTGATACCTGCAAATTTAGGCACGATCAACATCACCACGGTTAAAGCACAGTACGGGTGCGCCTTACTTTTTGGCTAATTTGCTTTAAAGCGTAGTTTTTGAAAAGGGTTCAGCTGGTGGGAGGCATCGTCACTGGGGACCGATGTGTGCTGCGCTGTACGTCACAAGGACACACGGTGTCTTCCTAAAATGTAGGCGGACGGAGCTGAAGCGTTCAAGACGGAAGAAAAAGAAATCTATTGGAAACAGCTCGAAGTTGTTGTGGTTTTTGCTATCTGACCCGATTGGCGACAGGGCTCCAGAGCTGCTGTCTCGTTCATCCCGCCGTTCCCAGCATTAAATTTACGTCTCTTTTTCCGATTCATAAAGCAAAATCAAGCCTTGTTGAGCCTCTGGCCTGCGCCGCCGAGCTTCACTGACAGCGATTTCCACAGCAGAGCTGCCGTTCCCCTGAATGAACATTTCCACACCTGAGGGGATGGTTTTAGCTGCGAGTAAAAAACAAAGCCAAACCCCGATGGTCTGCGGGGCTGCGAAATGGGCGCAACGTGACTAGGAGCAGCCAACAGGCAGGAGCAAGGAGAGCTGGCGCGGTGGGACCAGAGGAAATGATTTTGGGTCGTTCACACCTGTGAAATGAAGAGTTCAGAAGGAATAGAAAGGCGTGCGACAGCCCAGCCCTGTCCCCACTTGGATATCGGCCTGTATCCCCCTCCTCTCGTCTTTCCCCAAACGCACCCTGCGTTCTGCCTCCTCGCACCTGCAGCAGGGAAGAAGCCTGTGAATTGCTGACATCCAAGGTGACCCCAGCCCGTTGTCCCCACCCCGAAGCAGAGCATGGTCCTCGCTCGTGACACGCCAGTCGTGGGTGCTGTGCCAGCCCGTCTGGCTGGGCGATGCTGTCTCGTGCCAGCAGCCCTCCTCCCTCCTCCCCGGCACATCGCCCACCGTCATCGTTTCACAGTGTCATAGTTGGTCAGGTGGGACGGGACCTGAGCAGATCATCTAGTCCGACCCCCTGCCCTGGCAGGAAAGAGTACTGGGGTCAAACGACCCCGGCCAGATGTTCGTCCAGCCTCCTCTTAAAGCCCCCCAGGGTCGGAGCCAGCACCACTTCTCTTGGAAGTTGGTTCTGGATCCTAGCCGCCCTGACAGTGAAGTCACGCCTCCTGATGTCTAGTCTGGACCTACCCTCTGCCAGCTTGTGACCGTTATTTCTAGTCACTCCTGGTAGTGCTGGGGGGAACAGGGACTCCCCCAATGCCTGCTGGTCCCCCCTGACTAGTTTGTAACAGGCCACTAGATCCCCCCTCAGCCTTCCCTTGTGGCGGCTGAACAGGTTCAGGTCCCTTAGCCTCTCCTCGTAGGTCCTGCCCTGCTGCCCCCGATCATGCGAGTGGCCCTCCTCTGGACCCTCTCCATGCTGTCCACATCCCTCCTGAAGTGCGGCGCCCAGAACTGGACGCAG